TCCTTTGTTTCCCCTTCCCATCACTTCCCATCCTCTTCCCCCATCCTCCCCCCCCCCCACCAAAGTTGTAAAGTTCGTTTTTGACATGACAACTTGTACTTCTCATTGTTGCAATGGGTCCATCTGTATCCTTATTTAAACAACTTGTTTTTCCCCTTCCCCTAATATTTTTATTCTTATGTCTGGTTTATTTTGCTTACATTTTAAATTATTTTTGTAACTCATTATATCACATTCTAAATCTTTTGTTGTTTCACAAGCAGAACTGCCTGGATAAAAATTTATTTTATGCATAGTTTGTGAGTAATAAGAGGTACTTGATGAAAGTTTTGTTGAGTGATAGAACAAGTGAATAAAATGAGATAAAATTTTTCACTTCCCCCAAGATACCAATCTTACTTCCAAAACCAAATTTTCTTCCAAAAGAGATTTTGATTTCTAATGGGGAAAATATTAGTAAAAATATTCATTTCATCCAGCACCATAGAGCAGAAAGATTCAGATCTTTATTGAAAGCTTTCTTGAGAAAAGCAGATTTTACATGAAAAAAAAAATTAAGCCAGAAAACCTTTTAGCCTTCCTCCAAGCCTCCTATAGCCATTTAACAGGTCAACTCTGTATTAGAGAAATACAATCCATTTAGACAAAATTGTCTCTAAGGTAATGTTATTTTTTTGAGAAAGCAAAGCATTATTGTACTTTCTGGGTTCTAGCAGTGGCTTATGGGAAATTGAGTTTTGGTTTACTTATTGTTACCAGTTACCCAGTCAACTCTGAATTTTTCCCATGTCTATTTCCCTAATCCCCAAATGTATAATTGGAATAAATGTGACTTGGGCCAGAAATTCTCTCTTTTTCCCTAAGGATATGTTCTTTGAGTCTGAGGGTTGAAGACTGCTGAACCCTTATGACTCACTGTCATGTGAGAAATGAGATGGAATGAAAGAAGGTTAAGGGCTCAGGCTTTGTGATGAGATTAGGATCTTCTTTCATTTCATTGCATCAGAGTTTTCTCTTCTTTATTTAGGTTGTTAGTGCAAAATCCAGCTGTTATTCCAAAGAGAAAAAAGATTATTTACTCTAAGCCTTATTTAGCTTGAGCGATCATAACCAAGTCAGCCTGAATGGCCTATGCCACTGAGGAAGGGCTTGTATGAACTTTGAACTTTTATCATCACAGAACAAAAGAAAGTCATAAAATCAGTGGGTTTACTGAATACATTGATGGGGACAGCAAGTAGGTAGGTTATAGGATTTTGGGGAAATCTACAAATGTCAGATGTCATGACATTGTTAGCTGTATGGTTGGTGAAAGTGAATGGTCTGCTATGCTGAAAAATACATGAAAGTATAACATACTAGTCATAAAAATAGTAACTAAAGATACGGAAGTTGGTAGTAACTGGCGATTAAGAAGACTAAATACAGACAAGATTAGTTGTTTCTATCTGCAACATCTCATCTCCCCACCATCACCAAGTCCTTGCCAATCATTGTACAAGGTCTTCAACTCGTTGCTGTTTCTGGGAGCTTCCCTTTACAAGGTACAAGTAACAAATAAAGACTGTGTATGCCAAGTGTTGGTCACAACATTTGATACACTTGTGCATGGTGCAGCAATGGGAATATTAATGGTCTACTTTCTTATGAAATATGTTTAATACTTCCTACTATGAATTATGACAATTTGTCATTGTGTCATCTCCATGTAATTATAATACTGTTTAATCTAATTTGAGCTTTGATTGCAAAATAAATGTAATGCAATGACTATGATGTACTTGTCTTACTATATCATTTTATTTTATGGGACTAGAGTCTATTTCCATACTATTTCATTTTATTTTATGGGACTAGAGTCTATTTCCCTATGGTATAATTTCCAATATTCCATTTTATACTATTCCAGTTATTTTTATCTTGTATTGTTTGTTTAGAGACGGTCTCACCATGTAACCAAAGCAGATCTCTATTTTTCAGTCTCCTTGCTTTAACCTCCCAAGTGTTGAAATTATACTGGTATTTCAGTATGCTCAACTTGTACCATTTGTTATGTTTATTTTTTAATCTATTTTTTTTTTAATTTTTGGTACCAGTCCTGAGCCTTGAACTCAGGGTATGGGCACTGTCCATGAGCTTTTGTGCTCAAGCCTAATACTATATCACTTGACCTACAGCTCTACTTCAAAAATTTTTGGTAGTTAATTGAAGATAGTCTCATGGGCTTTCTTGCTCAGTCTGTCTTTGAACCATGATCCTCAGATTTTAGCCTTCTGAGTAGCTAGGATTATAGACATGAGCTACTGGCATTTGGCTTTCCACTTATTATAAAATGTAAGTTGAATCTTTTGAGAATCTTTTTAATGCTCTGAAGGATTCTCTTTTTAAAAAAGTGAAAAAACTAGTAAATTTAGTGCAATAGAAGCATTAAGAGAAAGAGAAGAATATTTTTATCTCTAAATAAAAAGGAAACAAAATCTCTTTGTTCTCAGTGGTAATGCTATACGTTGAGTGATGTTTTATCTGATTTTTTTCCTTGTCCCTGATAGTTTAAAAACCAAAGTAGAGGAAATATTTATTTACTTATTGGAGACAACAGAGGGGCAGATAAAGAGGATCAAAGCTATGTGAGGTGGCTCATATCTGTAATCATAGGCATTCAGGAGACTGAGATTTGAGGATCACAGTGTGAAAACAGTCAAGTCCAGACCAAAAAGAAAAAGTCCTTGGGATTCTTGTCTTCAATTGACCACCAAAGGAAAACAAAAGAAATAAACAAAAAACAAAACAAAACAACAGAAGTGGAGCTGTGGTTCCAGTGGTAGAATAATTAGCCCTGAGCACAAAAAGCTCAGAGACAGTGCCCAGGCTCTGAGTTCAAGCTCCAGGACCAGAATACAAAACAATGAGGATCAATAAAAGCTTTCCTTCAGGAAAGCAAAGATTCTGTAAACCTTGTCTGACAAAATCCTTCCAGAAAGCTATCCCTTCATAGGATACTAGGAGAAAACTAATCAAGTGCCTATGATCACATTTTTAGATGCAAAAAATTTTAGATTATAAAGGAATAGTATTACTCTTTTCCTCTTAAATTATTCTTTTGTCCTTTTCCCTCTTTTTTGCAATGTATGTTAAAGGCTCATGGCAATAGGATATGTTTGCATACTTTTTGACGCTTTACAAATCCTTATTGTGTTTGGTATGTTCTGTATATTGAGGATAATTAGAAGAGGGCTATTTTCCTTAAAGAGGGAGATGAAATTGTATCAGAGTAAATGTACCAGAAAGTCTCAACTAGAATTGGGAAGAGAACCCAGATTAATGGGTATGACATCCACATTAATATCCTCTGAATCTCTCTGTTGATTAGGTAAAAGGAAGAAAGAGTGGATAAAAGCAAACAAAAGCTTGTAGTAATTAAGACATATCCCCCCACTGGCAGAATATCCTATTCAGATAGTACTACATCATTAGTCTGCTCATCACAGTATATCATTATGCAGAAAACTGTGCTTCTTATCAATGGCTTTAAGGAAATGGCTCTCATAAAACCCATGAGTCTGAGCTCTAGAATTGGGTACTTGTACTGTTTCCTGAAGAAATAATTTGGGCTTATTGAGAAAGTATGCATGGTTTGATTTTGCTACAAGAGAAGTAACACTTTACAATTTTTATTTCTTAACAGAGGAAAAAAATCAAATGTTTTGATTATTATTCAGAATCAGATGAAAAGGAGATGCTATTTAAATCATTAATAGGTAGAATACTAAAGAACAATTAATGAATAAACCATAATTTTTTATTTAGTTGTATTTTTCTATTGATAATTTGATCATTTACCTTTATTTTCATAAGGAAAAAATGAACATGTGCCTTTATAGAATGAAACAAATTGCTTGAATTTAGTAATTTATCAATATAATGGAAAATGAATTTGAGAAGGGACATAATTTCAGGATAGTGCATATTTTCTGCTTGCATATGTTTGAATATTTTTGGCAAATATGATAGACATTCAATAGCTTTCATTTGTATTCGCTTAATATTCTTTTTTTTGGGGGGGGAGTCCGGTCGTGGGGCCTGAACTCTGGGCCTAGGTGCTGTCCCTCAGCTCTTCAGCTCAAGGCTAGCACTCTACCACTTGAGTCATAGCGCCACTTCCGGCTTTTTTTCTTTTTGCTTATGTGGTGCTGAGGAATCAAACCCAGGGCCTCAGGCATGCAAGGCCAGCACTCTACCACTGAGCTACCTTCCCAGCCCTCGCTTAATATTCTTGTACCTGTACTTTGGTAAAAGTTATTTCAAATTAAAAAATACTAATTGTTATTTTCTTCATACTTCAGGCAGATTTATAAGTGATTTCTTTAAAAAATTTAAATTGCTATTTTTAGTAGTACACAAATTGGGGTTTGCATTCAGAATTTTGTCTTGCTAGGCTGCTGCTTTACCACTGAGACATGTCCCCATGCTTTTCAGCTTTTCATGAACTTTCATAGAGGGTTTCAAATTTTATGCCTTAAGCTTCCCTCAGATTGTGATTCTCTTAACAGTGCTTCCGATCACACTCAGCTAATAGCTTGAGATAGAGACGTGCTAACTTTTTGGTCAGGGCTGACCTTGAGAAATGCGCTCCTCTCTATCTCTACTTCCCAAATAGCTGGAGTGACAGATGTGCACCTGTGCTTCTCTGATCTGGCTCATGACAGGTGGCTTTGATTTACACTGCTGAGGTTAAATAATGAGATGGTGCATCGCTTTATCGATTTGTTGGAAATGTGTGTTATCCATAACCTTTCAATTATATGATTTTATCAGTCAATGCTAAATAATATTTGTGATTTTTATATTATAAAGACTATTTTTATCATAAAATAGATGTAGTCCTTAAGGAAACAAATGGATGTGTGTTTTAGTAGTATATGGTATATACAATTCTGTTTTGAAATTCCTTTCATGCCTTTTACTTTTTCACAACTTGGTATTTATTTTTCTTTTGACAGAACGGTTTCGTGATTTACTACTGCCTCCACCTAGTCAAGATTCTGAGATTCTGCCCTTCATTCAATCTAGAAATTACCCAAAGTAAGCAACAGGAGTTTACTGGGTATTGAGAAGCACAGGGGCAGAGTGCTGTATGTGTGTTGGCAGGCAAAAACAAAAATGTAATCTTTTTCAGAATGTTTACTAACCAACCCAACTAGAGCATCTTCTCAATTCAGCATCTTGGGCTGTTCACAGATGGTACAGAGAAGAAAGACCTGCTACTAACTACCATCCAACTATGGCTGGGGAAGTAGAGCCAGTGTAGATAATAAGCTATCTGCATGTGTCCTACATAATACTGTATCAAGTAGAGACAGCTATTATATGCATGATTTCTCATATGGTTTTCTATTTTTGTCCTTTAAATGCAAGTATTTATCCATACTGTCACAATTGATTGTCAAAATAACATTCTAGGTATGTTTTTTCATAATTTTTATTTATTACTCTTTACCATTCTTTTGACATTTTCATACACGGATGCCATGAATGCACTTAGTGGTTGAAGGGCTATGCCTTCAGTATCCTGAGGGTGAGGGAATGCCACACCTTTTCTCACATATCCTCTTCCCTAAAGGCTACTGGATACTGGGATCTTGATCTTCCTGTGGAGTCTTGGAGCACCCCTTGTGAGTGTCTGATTCTCTTTATTAACTAGTATGCAGTGAACTAAAGAAAAACCCTCTAATACAAATGGAAGGCCACCAAGATAAAGAAATTTGAATTTGGTTTATGTATATTTAATCAAAACTAATCGTATATTTAAGCAAAACTAATCAATCTGCTAAATGATTTGTTATTTGATTGCTTTGCTGGCTATTTACTTTCCCCTAACACTTACATTTGATAACACTAATTCTGATGACAAAATTTTTTTTATCTTTTCAGATATGGATTTAAGCTTAGTTATCAACAACTGTTTTCTAGAGCTGCATACTGTGCACGGGGACAGGAATGTGCCTATATGGCCTTGTGTGTCTGTATTGCTATTCAGGTGTGGCCTTACCTGAGGAACTGCAGTGTGACTCGTGTGTGCATTCCTCAGCTGTGTGTTTGGGGAGCATAGATTCACTTGCAGGGACTGCAGTGTGACTAATGCTTGCACACACTGATGGAGCCACTTTCCTGCCTCCTGGACTCAATGTACACTGCATTCCTTTGCCTGAAGAGGGAGGCACAATGAGATTTTAATGATAATCTGTTTGCCACTATTTCACTTGTGTTTTTTTACATTATCTTTTTAGCTTTTATTTTATTTTTTGACTTCGTGTACATTTGTCATACAAGGATGTTTTGAGCTATTTCCATACATGTCTACAGTGCAATTTCAAAATGTTACTCCATTTCTTCTGCCTCCATTTATACTCATTTTATACTCATTTATACTCCATTTCCTTTACAGAATTTGATGGGTTTCTTATGTTTTTATGATAACCACACACACATGTGTGCACACATACACATACACACATACAAACATGCACACATACACAGACGCTCATAACCTTCCATCTTGTTTCCCCCTCAGCATCTCCTCCTTTCTCTTTTCCCTGTCTTATTGATCCCTTCTTAGCGAGTCACACGTTTTCATTCCTGACTCACTACTACTAATGTTGTCATCATCACCACCATCATTTTAGGTCTGTACTCCACAAAGAATGAGAACATGCAGTATTTTGCTTTTCAAGCTTGGCTTACTTTTCTCAACATTATGCTCTCCAGTTCCATCTATTTTCTTATAAAGGACCTAGTTTCATTTTTCTTTGTGGTGAAGTAATAGTCTATGGTGTACATATACCATAGTTTCTTTATCTAATAATTGATAGTTGGATATTTCTGCTCATTCCATGGTTTGACTATTGTGGACTGAGCTACAGTATACATGGGGATGAGTGTTATCTTTCTAGTATACTGATTTAAATCCAAATATGTGTGCAAGAATCATATAGTAGCAGCAAAAGGCAGATCTAATTTTAGTTTTATGAGGAGCCTTCATTTTGATTTGCATAGTAGTTGTGCTAGTTTATTATTCCTTCCTTCAGTGTATATGGGTTCCTTTCCAACAGGTAAAGGATGTTTATCAAGCATATACAGTTTAGCACACACACAAAAACACCCAAGGTTTAAACAATCCCATTAATAAATAGGCAAGTGATTGAATAGACAGTTCTAAGATGAAGAAGTGCAAATGTGCAACATTCTTAGCCATAAAGGAAATTAAATCAAAGCTACACTAATATTCCATCTCACCTAAGTCAGAATGGAAGTCTTCAAAAAATAATTATAGTAGCTCTACAGTCTTCATGTGTTTTTGTCCTTAGATTATCTTTCTGATAATGTGATGGTCCTGTTTGAACTAGTATTATAAATCAGTAGTCTGGATTTGTTTCTTATAGTTGTGGAAGTTGGGCGTCTAAGATCAAGGTTTTGGCAGACCAGGTGGCCAATCATGGAATACTTCTTGATAGATGATTGCCTTACCATTGTGTCCTCACGTGGTGAAGAGAGAGAAAGGAAATCAGCTCTCCCCTATCTCTTCTTACCAGGACACTAGTCCTTTTTAAGACCTCTACTTTCATAGCCTAACTGTACCTTGTTATGACACTATTTTAAAATTCTATCACAGAGTTTCAGCACATGAATTTGAGGGACACATATACAGTGCATGGAAGATAATGAAGTTTTCTTCCAATATTTATCAAAGATTCTATGTGAAATTATTTTTCCAGTGTCTAGCTTGTGGACTGGATATAACTTGAGCATCTATGAATTAAGAAGTAAAGTCTTCCACTGATATTTCCAACACACCCACACCCCTCCCACACACACATGATGGAAAGAAAGATAACAGATTAGCCAGAGGTTGCCCCAGCAGATGACTATCCTGGGACAATCTCCTTTCTCTGTGTTCTCATTCCATCAATATAAGGGGAGGGCTCAAAGCAATACTTAATACTTACAGATGATATGGAGATTCAACGAATGATAAATATAGAATATTATAATTCAACACAGCATGAAGGATAATGCTTCATTTTAGATGACAGTTTAATCTAATCTATTTGTATTTGTTTAAAACTTGTAAATTAACTAGATTGTTATGTTTTTTTAATATCTTAGGAAAGTAAGTTTTTCATTGATCTTAATAGAAGCTCTATCAGGATAATTTTCCAGCCTTCCTTGATTAATATGCAGCGAAGGATAAAGAAGGATGGGGAGGGAAAGAAGGAGGGAGGGAGGGAGAGAGAGAGAGAGAGAGAGAGGAGAGTATGTGTGTGTGTGTGTTTATGGGAAAACCATTTGAAAATCATTCCCTGCTATGGTTCTGGGGAACATTATTCTAAAATATAACAGTGTTCATTCATCATAGTCTTATATTTATGAACTACTATTTGACCCAGTGGCCAAAGCCAGGAAGGAACATCTATTCTTTCATCAAGATGCAATTGCACATATTTTCAGAACATGTAGAGGTGTGACAGTTCTCAGAAAGGGTGAGATGAGTGGAAACTGTTTTCAAAAAGAATATATACTTAATAAAAAAGATATGTTGGTGCTTTATTGATTGGGAGAAAAAAATGGAGATAATGTACTTTTATTGCTCATTCTTTATTGGTATTATTGTCATTAAATCTGAAGGATTTAGGTTCATAATATATTTAGACTAGAGGATACTTATATTTTCTCTTTATAAATGTCACTTGGATATGCAAAATTGTGGAGGACATTTGAGAAAATTTTATTTATGCAGTTGTTAAGCCAGCCAAACAAGAGCTGATAGTTCTGGAAGATTTAATCCAAATACCTATAAAATACTGTGAAAAATACAGGAATAAAATATTTTTTCTTTCTTCCTAAAAGATCAAGTTCTCCATGCTGTTTAGAAAGAGAAATACTATTTATTACAGATTTCAGAGCTGTTCTTTGGCTTGGTGCTGCCAAAAACCAACCTTGATTGTTTGGACCGTAAAACTATCCCACCCTAATCTCACGCCCTACTGGATTCTTAAAAATGGGTAATCTCCTTAAATGGCACGTCCGAAGATGGCCTTTCCACATTTCATCCGTGCTCTAGCTCATCTTGTCTCTTGCCTAACAAAATTTTTGCTTTCTCTTCTAGAAACTTCTACTGTCTTCAGTTATTTTTATTATGTCATATATAATGCTTACATATTATATATTATATATATTAGATAAAATTTATTACATATTGTGTTATGTACAAGAATATTTTGGGGCTGGGAAGGTAGCTCAGTGGTAGAATGCATGCCTTGCAAGCATGAGGCCCTGGGTTCGATTCCTTAGCACCACATAAACAGAAAAAGCCAGAAGTGGCGCTGTGGCTCCAGTGGTAAAGCACTAGCCTTGAGCTGAAGAGCTGAGGGACAGCACCCAGACCAGAGTTCAGGCCCCATGACCAGCAAAAAAAAAAAAAAAAGAATATTTTGTATTATTTTTATTTTATTATCTTTTTAAGGAGGTTTTAAGTAGCTTATATTAGTTGCATATAAGATGGTTCCTTGCGGCATACTTGTAAGTATAAGCAGTGTATTCCAATGGAACTTTTCCTTCCATAACTATCCCTCTCATGTTCCAAACTTCAAATATTCTCAACATTGTTGAAAATGTTTTCATGAATGCATATATAGTGTTTCATATTTGCCCTGTCCATTGGCCATCATCACTTCTTCTGGTACCAGTCTTCATCACAGTCTGCTTAACTTTCCTGTATATTATGCAAACTAATTCTCACTCACAATAATAACACATATTGAATACTGTCTATATGACAGATACTATACATTCCTATAGTGAATATCTTTCCCAAAGTTATGTGCTATATCTAGATCTGAAATCCTGATATATTTTGCCTCTAAATTATACTTATTTCTGCTGTACTATATCTCATTCAGTCATTAATCATTTCACCCATCAATTTATCAAATAATTATTGAATTATTATCATACACTAGAGACAGTCATAATTACTAAGAATAAGAAAATGAAGAAAGCACAGTTTATGGCTTTGAGGGATCTAG